AAAAAAAAAAAAAAAAGGAATTTAAAAGTAATGGTACTCTGGGCAATTTCGGTATAAAATAATTACAGACTGCTCTTTACAATTTCTCACTCTTTTTCCTTCCATCTGAACTTGAGCTGTGCTGCCGTTACAGATTCAGAGGCTCATATTCTTGTGTTCCTTCCCCAACTATCTCCGCTGATTCAGTGTAGGTGATCGGAGCATCTGCATTTCGCCGGAAAACATTTTTATATATATATATATTTTCCGTTTTGTTTGCTTTTTGAACGATCAAGATGACTAGCTGCTTTTTTTTTGTTATGGTTTTATATGGATCGTGATTAGATCCGTCGGAAGTGAAACAGAGAATGTCGACACCTAGCGCATTGGATCTGGCTTCAGGTCTTGGTGGCAAGATTGACAAAGACGAAGTCCTGTCCGCCGTCGAAAAGTAATTTCTTTAGATTTCCTTTGTATATGCATTTCATGTATTCTGCTTTTTAGCTCTCCTTTCTTTTGCCTTTTGCTTTCATTATCGTGTTCTCTACAATAGAATAGAACACAACTTGATTCCAAAAGTAATTAGTGATTAGTCTCTCCTTTCGACTTCTTTTTAAAATGTTTTAATGGATAGTGAAACTTGAATGGATTATTATTACGATTTTCTTTTTCTTCTCCACTGATTGTTTTAATTTATTTTTTTGAAGAATATCCGAATTGCATATTTGTATTAAAGTTCTCCGATCACCAGTGCACTGCGCAGCAGGCTAACAGAGCTGAGCTGTTTAAATTTCTATTTCAGTTATTTTTTGACGATTGATGAGTTGGTTGGTTCTTCTCTTTCAACCACACAAATTTAGTCAGACACTGCTCAGTACAACTTAGGATACCAAATGGGCATTATTCTTTTATTTTATTTTAATGGAAAGTGGCATTATTCTCTCTGTCACATGTGATGAAACACGTGAGTTAGAGGGTGTGTTTGGTTAAAGGACAAAAATAAAAAATAAAAAATAAAAAATAAAAAAAAGAGATTTTCTTTGATATTATTTCCATTGATGGTAAAAGATGAGAGAATGGTTGCTCACAGTTTTTGGTGGAGGTGGACTGGTGGAGAATGATGAACCATATTTATATCAATCGTAAATATTTCCAGATCTAAAAGGACTGCAAAAAGATAGGCAGATGATAATCTCGGGAGCAAAAAAAAAAAAAAGGGTTTATTGGGCTGATGATAGTTTTTCTTCATTTGCCTGCTTCAGCCAGAGAAAATAAAATGTTATTTATCTACCTACTCTCCAATTTTATTAGGCACAAATCTTGGACTATATTGGCCCGTACAGGACCTTATTTCCTCCAAGGTTTTAGTTATATTTTGTAATTCTAAAAACGAATAGGAAAAGTGCATGCTGGGAGTTAAGATGTGCTTGGCTCATCAGCTGCATGTTGGTACTGGAGATTCTTGTACGTAGCTTCATTGGAATTTTTTTACTGGTTCTTGCTTCATATGATGCTTATGTTCTCTGTCCCTGACCTTAATTCCATGTGCTCTTACTGAATTATGGGAGGTTATGTTAATGATTCAGGTACGAGAAATATCATGGCTATTATGGAGGTGACGAGGATGAAAGGAAGGCTAATTATACTGACATGGTAAAATGAATTTTATTTATTTATCTATTTTTCCAATCTTCCTCTAGAAATTTTCCTGTGGACAGGGATAACCTGCACATGAGCATAATGCTGGATGTCCTTACTCTAGGTCTCCAACTTTTTCATTTTTCTTTTAGCTATTCAATATCGATATAGATCATGTGGTTTTACCTTTTTTCTGCTTCTTATGTCTTCTATTCCTATTACATTCCATGTTATATTTAGCATCAACTGTCTAGGTAAGATTATTTTTATTATTTTATTTATATCATGATCACATCATTCTCTTTTACTGAGCAGAGAAGTTTCAGTCTTTTTTTTTTTTTTTTTTTTTATGGTCAAGTAAATCTATATCTTTGAATATTGCATTTCAGGTTAACAAATACTATGATCTTGCCACCAGCTTTTATGAGTTTGGATGGGGGGAGTCTTTCCATTTTGCACACAGGTATCTGCTTGTTTTATACCTCAGTGAAGTGTTGTCTCTGCTTTTGCAAGTTGTGCAAGCAAAATTGGTCACATGCATAATGTATTCTTTGCAGATGGAAAGGAGAGTCTCTTCGAGAGAGCATAAAGCGACATGAACATTTTCTTGCGTTACAACTTGGCCTGAAGCCTGGTCAGAAGGTTTGTCTACTTCTGTACAGCATGGACATTTCTGAGTTGTTTGCTTTTAGTTTGGTTTGAATGTTTGTCTTAAAGCTTTTGTTTGTTTCCTAGGTGCTAGATGTAGGATGTGGGATTGGTGGACCTCTCAGAGAAATTGCTCGATTCAGGTCAATGGCAATTCATTCTTCAGCACCATTTTTCTTTTTATCTTTTTTGAATATAAACTTTTCTGTGGCTACTAATTAGCACTTAGCTGCAATGGATATCAATCTACTATCTTGTTTTGGTCAAGTGAAGAAATTTAGTGATTTGAATAAGTCAATTATGTTTATCAGTATTGATTGGGATTTCCTTCCTGTTATTTGGTGAATGGTAGCTGCTTTATTGGGCCTTAATGCTGACAATAAATTTCAGCATTAATCTTTAATCTTTATATGATTCACGGAAAAGAAGATTTGATAATTCTCTACAATTAGGATATCTGCGTCAATATGATTCATTAAGATTATCATTAGCATAACAAACAAGCGGATTGTATGCAGTTCCTTTCTGTATTTGGTAGATGATTGTACTAGAAAGTGGCTCTGAAATCATGGTTCTTTGTGATTTGCAGTTCAACATCAGTTACAGGGTTGAACAACAACGAATATCAGATAACAAGAGGAAAGGTGCATGACCCTCCATTGCTTATTGTCTTTCTTTTTCCCTCTTTTTTTTTTTTTTCTTCTGTCAGATGTATCTTTGACTTTGGAATAGAGAGTTAACTATGCCTATGGAGGAACTAGTATTACTTGTTTGTTTGATAGGAGGAAAACTTCAGCACTGATTGCCTACTTATTACTCATCTGAAAATTCTACTTTGGGATAATAAAACTGATTCTTTATTCTTTACTACAGAGATAATGATGTGATTTTAACAATATCTTTTCTTCCCCATTTCTAGTTGATGATAGTGGAGTATCTTATTGCGTTTTTGGATAGTGAGGGGGTCTAAATATCTGTCTTGAAAATTGGATTTATCACTTATGAGACTTTGTTCCTTCACAGGAGCTAAACCGCATTGCAGGAGTGGACAAGGCTTGCAACTTCGTGAAGGTTGGTAGTGTTTTAAGTTTATTTTTTATTGTCTTTGAAATCAAATGTTCTGTGCATTTGTCATTTCCTTCTTTCTATACTTCACTTTCATCCTTTAATTCGCTAATTTAAAGTTTTGAGAGTTACTTGTAAGATATATATGGAAAATGCTTTTCACCGACTGATTTTATGATTACCGCTCTTCCCTCATTATGCAGGCTGACTTTATGAAGATGCCATTTCCTGATAACAGCTTTGATGCAGTTTATGCTATTGAAGCTACATGCCATGCACCAGATGCGGTATGTCAATATAAGATCCTCTGTTTCAATTATCATAATTATCATCACTCGGTTAGAAAATCAGTTTTGGTTTGACTATTTGATAATGCTGTACTCATTTACTTAACTGATTTCTGTTTATGCTGTGGATAGTATGGATGTTACAAAGAGATTTACAGAGTATTGAAGCCTGGTCAATGTTTTGCTGCATATGAGTGGTGTATGACTGATTCTTTTGATCCCCAAAACCAGGAGCATCAGAAAATTAAGGTTGGGCATTTTAATGGTTTGAAAGAAGACCCTATTATGTATCCATGTGATGATCTCACATCAAGTTACATTGATTGCAGGCAGAAATAGAGATCGGTGATGGTCTTCCAGATATCAGGCTGACTGGGCAATGCCTTGAAGCTCTGAAACGAGCTGGGTTTGAGGTTAGTTATTGATTTTCTTTTTCATTTTATTTAAATTTCTTTTGTGTTGTTTCTGCAATGTAACGTGAAACATAAATTGTATAAATGTAATTATTTCCTCTGGTTGGTTAAGGTCATCTGGGAGAAAGATCTTGCCGCAGAGTCACCTGTCCCATGGTACTTGCCTTTAGATAAAAATCACTTTTCACTGAGTAGCTTTCGTCTAACTGCCGTTGGACGTTTCATTACAAAAAATATGGTAAAGATTGCTTAGATACTGCTTTCTTATTTCAAGATGTCTTTCTTAATGGAAAATTCATTTTATTGGTTGGACATCCATATTTCATGGCATTAAGCAACTTACTGGATACTTTTTTACTCCGCATTTGTAGGTCAAGGCTCTAGAATATGTGGGACTTGCTCCGAAGGGAAGTCAGAGGGTTCAAGACTTTCTGGAGAAGGCTGCTGAAGGTTTAGTTGATGGTGGAAGGTGAGTAGTTTGCCCTTTCTATTGTTTAAAAAACTGAGTAAATTTACTTTATCAACGAACACCTCAAAAAAAAATCTACCTGTTTCTCGAAAGTAACATCCAAGGCAACATGCCAACATGCGTATAATTTGTCCAAAAATGAGAGCTCTATGACATCCTCACTCAGAAAACATCAATTTTCTCTGTCAGCAACATACTGACACAATGCTGCAACCATGTTTCAGGAAAGAGATTTTCACCCCGATGTATTTCTTTCTTGCTCGTAAACCTCATCATTCAGAGAGTCAGTAATGCAGTGACAAAATAAGGAATCAATTGCTGCTTTGGTTGTTGAATCTTTCAGGGGAGGCTGACGAGTGAGTGTTTATAAATATGGTAGGCCTTTGTTAGGCAACTTCTAGTTTTCTAGACTGCATGCTGTGTGTCCAACTTTTTCTTTGGATTCCTTGTTATTTGCCTTGAGAAGTATCACTGGCTGTCTGTTTGATGAACTTAATTATGTGAGGTAACAGCGTTCTTCTGTTTATGGATATTCAATTTGATTTAGGTATGTTTGTTCAAATGATTCTTTTAGAGTTGTAGCATTATTTCGGAAGACAATCTTAATTCATCTCATCTCATC